CACGCAAAGCAAAACCTCGGTGAAAACTCCCTGGCCACAGCCCAGGCGGGCTCACTTCCTGAGCTCTGGTCACCGCTGAAAATGGCAAGTGAGCCGTTTCACTTTTTCTGCTCTCCAGGGACCTTGTCCCACCAGGCTGGAGGCCACGTGGCAGCACCGGGAGACACCAGGGGTGACTGAGGGACCTAGTGCGCAGGCGCCAGGCAGGCCGGAAGCCAGGCCAGGGGGACGGAATCCCCCGTGGCGAGGGAGCTGGGGACGCTCAGGCTCCTAAGGGCCCAGCAGACAGGCCCGGCAGGTGTCCCGAGCAAGTGAGAGGTCCTGTCTGATGATGCCAGTGCTCGAAGCAGCACTGCTGAGCCTGTTCAACGCCCAGCTGACCACTGCCCCCCAGCTGCACCCTAGTCTCGGCTGATCCCACCTTCCATTTGCTCTGGAATGTTCTTGCGCTCCTGTCTTTCAAATGCTCTTTAAAACACACATTCAAATGTCATCACTTCCAACGTGGACTGGTTCCAGGTGGCACCTGGGACTCCCTCCTGGGCACATAGCTGTCGCAGAGGCCTCCATGGGACCGTTGGGAGCTCAGCTTCTCCTGGCTACTACAGGGATGCCTACCCTTTCCAGGTCACTGGAGTGGCAGCCTGCAGTGGTCTCCTGGCTCACAGAGCCACACTCCCACTGTCCACTGTCCAGTGCCCACGGCCTGGCCCCTTGCCTTCCCAGCCACAGTGCCACCTACTGCAGGGATGCTGGGTCAGTAACACAGATCCCTGGACATCAGCCTGACTCCAAGGAAACGGTGAACTGACCCCGAGGGCGCAAGTTTCTGGTCTGCACCTGCCAAGAGGGAGGATGCCACCCCGCAATGGCCCAGGCCACCATGAGGGCAGTGTCCCACTGGGCACAGCAGTCTTCGGCCCTAGGGCCTGGCCCCAGCCTTGGGCCCAGGTCAGGCCTCCCGAGACCACATCCCTAGTCCCCTGCCCAAGGCTTCAGAAACAGGCCCTCCAACCCCAGCAGGGGGGCCTCTGCCCACCAGGGCCACGGAGGCCAGGCAACCAGAGGATCCCAAGAATGCCCGAAGGCTGGCTCCTGTCACAGCAGCCGGGGACAAACAACAGGTGCGGCACGGAGGGGGGAGGCGAGGAGGGCCAGGCACAGCCCTGCTGCACCGCTCCCCACTCCAGGAGAGCTGTCAAACAGGAAGTGAAGGTGGGGGAGCAGCGGGGCCACCCCAGACGCCCTCAAGGGAAAACGTGCTGCTGCGGTGGGGCTGCAGCTGAGTCGCCCTGCACCTGCCGTGCTGGGCCTCCCGCCCCACCCTAGCCAATGGCAGGGCCTTGCCCTCAGCTCCAGTCTCACAGCTAAGGGACACACAACGCCTCGCACAGGACAGGGCCGCTGAAGGGCTGAGCCAGGCAACAGGTCGGGCCGGGGGTCTCAGTGCCACGCTGGTGCCACCATCTCTGTGGGTCATGGAACTCAGAAAGCACTACCTCACAGGGCCAGTCACCCCCAACACGCAGGGCCAGCAGGTCCCTCAGGGGCTCCGCTGGGCTTCCTGTTTATGGTGCTCATCCCCACGCCGACCACCAGCAGACAGGCACGGACACGTCTCACAGGACCCTGGGCACAAGGCCCAGCTCTTCCCATCCTCCCTATCAGTGGGTGCCACACTGCCTGAAGCCTGCCATCCCATCACCCCTCTGCACGCACACGAGGCCCAGCCACGAGTCTCCACCAGGCACCAGGGCCCCCACAGGCAGGGGTCCTGGGAAGGATGGGGCCCATGGGGAGGCGCAGGCGGGGGAGAGGGTCACATGGCTGTCACTGGTCTCAGTGCTGTGTGCACTCATCCAAGAGCTGCCCGGGGCTGCTGGGGCCACAGGGACAAGGGCCTCGGCTGGTCTGCGTGTCCCAGCCGTGGCTTCACAAAAGCAGGCAGGTCTGCAGACCTTGCTGCAGGGCTGCAAGCTGTTATGACACCCCGGGAAAACTCTCGAGGCTTCTCGTGGCCAGGCCCTGGTCCACAGGCTCCATCTACGGGTCCCCCAATCTCAAGGCGGCCCTGTGAGCTGGTGCTGTCGCCCACCCCAGCACACAGACAGGGAAAGTCCTGAGAGTCAGCGTAGTGAAGACCCCAGACAATGCACCTGACCATGGCAGCTGGGACCTGGTCCTGTCCCCCACAAACCCCGGGCCTGACCCCTCCCAGGCAGAGCTGGTGCTCGGTCAACAGGCAGCAAGCACGCAGCATGATCCCCTTAAGGACCATGAGGGTGACCCGCAGAGAAGCAGCTGATCCTTTCAAAAATAGCCCCGGAGAGGCTCCAAGTACAGCCAGGCTGGGACAAACCTTGGCTCCTGGCTGGCCACAGGCCTTCCTGGTGCATAACCCTTGCCAGGAGCAATCTCTAACCTGCTCCCGCCTCCTCTCCTGCCTGGGCTACTGAATGTCCCACCAGGCTGGCAAAGAGACCCCAGCCAGGCGATCTACAGCAGCTATGTCAGCCCAGCACCATCACACAGGCTGGCGGGGCTGGCACAAACCACCTGCCACCCACCCGCGCCTCCAAATGCTGGCCTGGGCCCACACAGTTACAAGAAGCAAACACCAGCGGAGTCAGGTCCTCCTGGGGCCCGTTCAACTTAAAAAAGTGGACCAGAGACTCCCCCAGACAACAAAGCATCAAAGCTCTGGGGAAGCTTTGTCCACTGACGGACGGACGAACGTTTCTGACCAATCGGGCAGCGCGTCTGTAATGGCAGGGCCTAAAAGTGGGTCCAAAGCTGTCAAAGGCCAGGACCGGGGCCAGAAAGTCTGGGAAAAGCTTGGCCCCTCATGTGCGGACCCTGAGCCACCCAGGCTGCGGTTCCCACTGTGCCCTCAGCCATGCTAGGCCGGGCCCCACGGCCAGCCCCGAGCTGACAAAACTGACCGCTGAGTCAGGCCCAGCTGTGCCCAAGCCTGATTGTTTGTGAAGACAAAGGGGACGCTGACAGCCCAACTCTGCGGCATAGCCAGAGGGTGGGCGCTGGGAGCCTGCAGCTGACCCAGGCAGCCAGCCGGGCTGCAGCTCTGGGGCCACACAAGCAGGGCCACCCTGGGTCTGGTCAGGGCCTGGGCAGCAGCAGGGAGGGCCACCGTCCTCCTAGGAGCTTCAGCTCCACACTCACTGGAGATGAGAAGCCGACAGTCCCTGGCTCCTGGTTCCTGTTTGGGTCTCTCCTCCTTGGCAACCAGCAGTCTGAGGCCACTCCACAGTCACAGGACTAGATGGCCAGCCCACTGATCTGGTTACAAAACACCACTGCCTGATGGCAGGTGTGAAGGCAAACATACTGTGACCAACCCGGGTCCCCTTGGACAAACGGCACAGGATACTAGAATGGTGCAGGGGAGAGCTGGGGCGCCCTGCCCATCCACCCACCCTGCCAGGACGGCAGCATGTCCCAGAGCTGGGTCCTGAGGCGTACCCTCCCCACCTATCGTTAACCTGTCGGCCTCAGTTTCTAGTCTCTAACTAAACTGTTATCAGTACCCATCTCCAAGGCTCGATGTGAGGGCCAAAAGTAGGCATGGCGGGGGACACAGCATACAACAACCCACCAGGCACTCTTAAGGGCACTGTTCCTGGTTTCTAGATGCGGCAACTCCCGAGGATGCCCCTTGCCAAGATGGAGCCAGCCAGTAAGCAGCCAAAGCACAATCTGAACCCGGACTTGAGGGCTCAGGGCCCACCAACTGACAGATCCCGGAGTCCCAGAGACAGCTGTGACAGAGCAGGGCAGAGCCTTGGCATCGTGGGCGGGGCAGCAACAAAGGCTGCACAGGTCTGGGGCTCAGGCCCTGACACCCCACCCCCCAGCAGGGCCAGTTCCAGCCCAGGCCCCCTGCACACAGCAGGCCACTGAGGAGCACAGATCACCCTCCTCCTGTAGCTGAACCTCAGAGAAAGCACTAGGGGGTGCAGGGGAAGGCCTGCAGGCTGGAGTACCTCAAAACACCCTCTGAAGGTGACTTTGGACATGGACGAAGCGGATGCAAGGGTTACCCCACAACTATCTACCGCTGTAGAACACACCACCAGGAGGGCACGGGCAGACAGGGCCCAGGCTGCTCCCGGGTGCCCAAGGCCCAGGCTGCTGTGGGGCTCACACATAGCTGTCAGCACACGAGGCCGTCACGGAAGCCATGGCACTGCCTCACAAGTCCTGTGCCAGCAGCACCTGCCTCGGGCAGCGGAATCACCTGTGAGCCACCACCAGTGTGCGCCTGCACAAGACCAAGCTCCAGAGGTGGGACTTAACCCTGGAAAAGGAACAGCCACCGGCCCTCCCCAGCCCAACAGCAGGCCCCGTGCTGCACGGAATTCCCAGAGCAGGCTGGGAAATCTGACCAAGGGGGACCCTGGGGCTCTCGAGCCCCTCCCCAAGCAGCTGCTGAGTCTTATTAGAATTTTTTAGAAAATGCAGGGAGGTGAGAGCCCTTAAGTGCAAGGTATGGTGTGTGACTCCTAAGTGAATCACACACAAAGCCCACAGAGGCCAGGCCCACCCAAACCAGTGACATCTGGCGCTGGCCATGTCATCTGTTGCTGTATTCAAAGCTGCCACCTGTCCAGCTCTGAAGCAGGGCAGAGGGTGACGGCAGGAGCACAGCCCACCTTCCTAAGGCTGTCAGCTCACACTTCACCAGGGCCTGCCACCACAGGCCATCCCAGCTCTGTCCAGAGCCCAGGGAGAGATCACCGAGGTACCCGTGCCTGCTGCCGCAGCCACACAATCAGGGAGGGGAGTGGCGTTGGTGCCCGAAGGGGAGAAGCCCTCTCTGCCGCAGGGCCTCTCCTGCCTCACACCTCCCTCCACATCCCCAAAACACAATCACGTTTCTGCAAACTACCGCTTCCCCTGCCCTGCAGACTCAGAAAGCCATGGCCTGCTCACCTCATCTCGAAAGGCCGCCCACCCACTCCACACCAGCCGCATCCACTCACCCGTAGGTCCGCTGGATCAAGGTGGGGTGGAGCTGCTGCACACCGACTGCGAAGCCTGGGATGAGAGGACAGTCAGGGACACTGCCCCAGGGAGCCCCCCCCAACAAGGTAGAACCAACCTCACGGGCCATCATTCGGGGAATAACCAGCTTCCTCTCCCCTTCCAGGCTACCACTACTTACAGGCCCCTAAACATGCAGCAGCTAAAGCAGGCTGGCGGCCCTGGGAGTCGGGGAGTCAGCAGTTACTCTGACTGACTCCCAGTATCTAGCCTCGGGGCCAACTTCCTCCTTCAGAGGCGCAGAGCTGGCCACCGGGGTGCTGGTCCTATCCCTCAGGGTCCCACTCTCGAGCTGGGGGTGCCTGCCCTGTGCCAGCTCTGCGAGCACACGATAGCTGACTGCCACTCCCGGGGCAGGGGGGCCTTTTCCACCCGACAGATACCAACGCTGAATATAGAAACCCAGAAGAGCCCGGAGAAAGACACCAGCACTCACCCGTCTGCAGGCTCCGAGGCTTGGCGCCCAGATAGGCTAGGTTCACGTTGGCCTTTCGACCATCGATGATGGGGTTAGGGTCTTTGCAAGCCCTCTCCGCTGCTGCCCGGTCAGCCATGGTCACCTGGGGGAGCACGGCGGGTCACTAGCTTTCCTCACTGGGCCCGGGAAGCCAGGGAGTGTGGGCAGAGGGCTGGACTATGCCACCTTTCCTCCCAAAAGTGCCAGGAACACGTTCCTTCGAACCCAGCCCAGAGCCTTCCCACAAGCCGTGCCCCCCTTTCCCCGACTCAGTCTCCTTCCTCCAAGTTCCAGTGCTGGGAAAGCTGGCCTTCAAGGCCAAAAACAATCCCCCGGCAGATGTGACAGGAGTGAACCCTAAATCCTAGCCTGGCCTGCCACCAGAGAGGGCCACGAATTTCCTCGTGAGGCAGTTTGAAGACACTTGTCGTTGGAAGGGAAGTAACAAACGTGTCTTCACGACATTTTCCCTTAAGTTGATGCTGACTTGGGGCGGCTCAGGCGGCTGATGGAAAATACGGGGGGAGGGGAAAAGAGCCAAAGCGCCCAACACAACTTTGGCTGCAGCCTTTGCCCCTCTCGCTGGCCGCTAAGAGTGGCCGTCGGACCCCAAAACCTCTCCAGCAACTTAAGAGCCCGCATGGAACACAGCGGACCTCCCTTTCACATCGCGGTTGGGGGCGGGGAGGCGGAGAAGGGCGGCAGGTGCGGGCGGACGCGAGGTGTCGGGTGGCCGCCCGGAGGCGGAGGCGGCCGTGCGGGCCGGCAGGGCGTGCGCCCCGAGTTGAGTCTGCGCCCCGGGCCGAGATAAGGTGCGAGGGTGGGGAGCGGCCTGGCCGCGGGCCACTTACGAAGCCGTAGCCGCGGGACTTGCCCGTCTGGCGGTCGGTGATGACCACGGCCTCCTCGATGTCCCCGAAGCCCTCGAAGTACTTCCTGAGCGAGGCGTCGGTGGTGTGGTAGGGCAGGCCGCCCACGAAGATCTTGGTGAACGTGGTGTCCTTCTGCGAGCCGTGCATGGCGCCGGGGGCGGCCGGGGGCCGCGGGAAGCCCGCGCTCGGGGCGCACGGCGCGGGCTGCAGCAGCATAAGGGTCTTCCCGCCGCTACGGACCCGGGCCGCGCGGGGCTGCGCTCATGGGGGGCGGTGGGGAGCGCGCGGGACAGCGAGGGGCGCCCGTCCAGCCGCCAGGCCCGTCCGCTCACGCGCCGCTCCCGCCGAGCACGGCGTGCTGCGATCCGCTCCGCTCCGGCGCTGCGCGAACTCTGTGCCCCGGCGCCCGCCCCCGGGCTTTGTAGCCGGCCCCGCCCCCGCCGCTCGGACACGCCTCTCGCCCCGCCCCGAGCGCGGGGGCCGCCGGGAAGTGTAGTCCCGACCACCGCCCTGCCGCGCCCAGCCGCGCCGGAAGCTTGGGTCTCGCGGGCGCGTGCGAATAGAGGGACGGTGTGGGCGGGCATGCACAGCGTCCGGGCGCTGTAGGTCCTCGAGGTGCGAGGAGACGGGGTAGGGGAGTTAGGTGTGGCGCTTGTTAGCTTCCTGCTTCTGGAGTCAGTGTTTACCCCGCAGCCAGTTAGCCAGGGTAACATGTATCAAAAGGTGGGCGATTACAAGTGTTCGTCTGAACCCCCTAGGCGGACGGCCCTTTGTCCGAACCCCACCCCGCCCCACCGAGCTTCTGGGACTAACTGGACGGAGAGGCGCGGGCACACGCCTGAATCTCAGCATAATGGGAGGCTGAGGCAGGAGGATCAAGTTCCAGCTCAGTGTGTACAACTTAGCCATTTAATCAGGGCCTATCTAAAAGGGGTAGTGATTTGGTTCAACTCGTAGGCCTTGGGTTCAGTCCCCATTACCGAAAAATAAAACAAACCCCATGAACCACAGAAAATGTACAGAATCCGGCAGAAGCTCAATCAGAAAGTGGGTAGAGAGTGGAGATCGGTGGGCCGATGGTCCCAGAGACCCCCTGGGGAGTTAGTGCTGCGCTCTTAAAAAGTCCAGAGGCTTTGTCCTCCATGCCTGTCTTAGGGGGCTTCTGTGTGCCCAGCCAGGACGCCTCTGCACAGCGATCCTGGCCGCGTAGAAAGCATGAGGCCCCTGTTTACGAGTTATTGGGGCCAGGTACAGTGTGGCACAGGGCTATGGACCTCTGCTTTCCAGCTGAGGCAGGAGGACTGCAACTGGGCAACTGCGGAAGACCTTGTCTTGAAAGGTAGACGTGTCGGGGCTTTGCATTCCTAGGTTCAATCTCAGTACTGAAAAAAAACGCCAGGATTTTGAGGACTGGCCCCACCGGTGACAGTCCTGCTTTGGAGCGGGATCCGGGCCTCTCGGCCTCACACTGCCCGTCTCCAAGTGATTGGCTTGGCAGCTGCGGCTTCCAGTAGAGTCACTCCTTGTCCCAGCTCTGGGCACAGCGGGCCACAGGTGAGGCGGCTGCTAGCCGGTTCGGCCCCTTGGGGCAATCCAGTCCCTTCTCTGCCCAAGCCTCTGGGTTCCAGCAGCTGGGACCCCGTCCCAACCCCCAGCCTGCCCTGCCCTTTCAGGGGAGGAGCCCGCTCTTGGACCAGCCTCCTGCAGACCAAGCTTTCCAGCCCTGTACCCTGCTGGTCCTGTCCACCTTGGGCGCCCGCAGCTTTAGGGTCTCTTCCCTCCCAGGGGGGCACCATGAGAAGGGATCTAAGGAAATGTTGGTTAAGTGAATCTATGAGAGAAGAAGTGCTCCGGGTCAGCCAACAGCCTCCCACGTGCCTCTTGAAAATCTTATTAATCGGTGACAGTGACCTGTGCCCTAGAGGCCTGGGAAGGGACCCTTACCCCGGCGCGGGATCTTGGGTCTCCCAGGCCCCACCATCGGCCTCGCTTCCCCGTCAGCGACACGCAGCACCTGGTGCCGGGGCCCACGTGAGGCTCGCAGCCTACATGTCCCGGCGCGCCTCGGGCCGCGTCCCCGCCCAGGCTGCCGTCCCGTCCCCTCCCGCGGGAGCGCAGCCGGTGGCGCTGTGGAGCACGTGGGCGGGGAGGAGCGAGCGCTGCAGCCTGAGGCGGCTCCGGCTCCCCCTCCCCCGGGCACGTGGGGCTTCCGCATCCCCAGCCGGCGTGCTGCCCTGTGGCTCCAGGTCCCCGCGTGTCGCGTCTTCTGCCCTGCAGTCAGAAGTGCTCTGGGCCTGGGAATCAGTGGTGGGAGGCGAGCGCCTTAGAGCGTACAGTGTAGAAGGCCAGAGCTCATGAATGAAAGGGTTTTATATTTATATATATATATGTAATTTTTTTCCTGGTAAATTTTCCCAGGCCAGCACTGGACACTTGTCGGGCTTATCCCAGGGTTTCCAAGCCAGCGTGCCAGAAGCCCCAAAAATATCTTGAAAGAAAACACAACGCAGCAAACAAGAAGAGGAGCCTAGGAGGTGTGGGGGCCTTGAGCCTGTCAAATCAAAGCCAGCCTGGTCCCATGGTTTGGCTCTCAGAGTGAGCAGCCCTGCCAGCTCCAGTGCGTCATGTGCTGGCTGGTCTGAGACACCTTGCTTTCTGTGTGGCCTGGAGCAGACCCTGCTCAGGCACACACGTGCTCATCAGCCCTCTGTGGCTTTGCAGAGCTTTTGGGAGACAGCACTGAGCACTCCAGTGGTTTGCATCTTCCCACCTGCATGAGTTCCCAGCCCCTGCCCTCTGCACCCCTGCTCCAGCCTCAGTCACCTGAGCCCAGCTGCTCGCAGCCAGGCCTCACCTACAGTGCGCCCTCCTAAGCTCCTTCTGGGGCCACGGAGCCCTCAATTGCCCCTGAGACACAAGCATTCATCTCAAAACCGCTTCAAAATTGAAGCGCCCGGATTTGCAAAGGAAAACAGCCATATTAAAATAAGCTTTAAAAATGTGTATACAGCCAGTCAGACATGGAAAGTGACCTCCAAGAAGATGGAGTGGTCAGCCGCATAAACAGCCTCTCCGAGATTTGGCGCAGAACACGATGAGGAGGAGGAGGAGGGAGGCAGCTCCCCGGGATCTGAAGCCAACAGGAGAGCAAAGAGACAGAGCTCCCTGGTGCAGGAGGAGGTGGTGAGAGGCGCTTGCTTCCTCCCTGAGCCCAGACTGGCCGCAGGGGAGGGGCAGCCTGAAGCTGGAGACCACAGTGACTGCAGATGACTCCAGAGGCCTGTGGAAAAACACACCACTGCACACAGCAATCTGCAGTGGGTGAATTATTGGGGTTCAGACACCCCCCAGAAGAGGGTGAGTGGCCAGCAAGCATCTTGGAGAGAGGCCAGAACTCAGCGCAGCTGTAGCTGGCTCCATCTAGCGGCTCCCGGTGTCAGGTGAGGAGGAGGCACAGAGCGCTGCGGGCTGAGCAAACCAGGCTCCAGCTCCACAGCCAGAACCCAGTGTGAACTTCAGTGGGGCTAACGGTGCAGGCTGCCGGGATTATCCACCACCCCGCCGTAAATCTACAGCTGGCTTCCCGGGATTGATGGACACGGTGCTGAGGGCGCCTGCCCAGTCTGCAGGGCAGCAGAGACACGTCCGTCTTAAAGTGGACATTTTTTCCTCTTGTTTTTGTTCTTCTTATGAGCGTGAACATGTTTTCTGGTCTTTTTGTTGTCGTGGTGCTGTTCTTCCTGCTTTTTATTTCTTCCCACTTTTCCCTCCTGTCTTCTTCACCAGGTTGGTAAAGTTTGTGAAATCTAACTTTGGGCTCCACCCCGCCCCTAATCTCTTCCTCTTCTGATTCTCCATTTCCTCCCCAGCCCTTGTAAGTTTTCTGCCTTGAGAGTAAAATTGCTATATTGAGGGCATACTTACTGTATATAATTTTCCTAAAATAGTGAGGCACGTGAAAAATCAACCCAACAGCTGCGAGATGAAAGAAAAGCAAGGTTGATTGGAGTTGATGAAAACGCAAGAGATTGGACAAACAACATAGAAAACGTGTTCACAGAACTAATGGCAGAAAACTATCCAAACTGGAAAAAATTTGACATGCAGATAAGCGAGGCAAAGAGAACTCCAGTTAGCCAAGATCAAAACAAGAGCTACACTAAGGCACGTAACCTTCAAACAGTAGACAACACAAACCCTCAAGTCAAGGGGAGCTTGGAGTGAAGTATTTCAAGCTTTAAAAGAAAACAACCTTCAACTGAGATTGATGTGCCCCACAAAACTGTCTTTCAGAATTGATGGAGAAATAAGAGCCTTCCATGATAAACAATACCTAGAGAAATTCATGACCATCAAACCAGTGTTTGGAGGACATTCTAGAGAGAGATAATAAAGACTACACCTCCATGAATCCCAACAAGATGAATCCATCTGGCAAGGCGAGAGGGAGGAAAGGGGGAACCAAGAACAGGAAAGAAACGTGGCAAGCGTAAGTCAGGACATGCTGGTTACTACATCAATGTCAGTGGTCTCTGTTCACCAATTAAAAAAAAAAACAAGATGTAGAATGGATCAAGAGACACTATCCAACAATGTGCTGCATATAAGAAGCACATTGAAAAAGAAATTCATAGAGTAAAAGTCAAAGCATGGAAAAAATTACTCCACACAACAGGAACCTGGAAAAAAGCAGGGGTAGCTGTTCTATTTGCAGAGGAAGTGGTTTCAAGCCAAGACTGATCAAGAGAGACAAAGAGGTAACAATACCCTTTAAAGGGAACATCCAAGAGGAAGAGATGACAATCATAAATATATATGCACCAAATACTAGTGCACCCCAGTATATAAAACAAATATTAAAGGATGTGAAGAACTGAAGAAGCACTAATACAATTGTAATGGGGACCTCAGTACCCACTGTTATAAACAGATAAGTGAACTAAGGAAAAAGCACAAAATATCAGGACAAATACACAATACAAAAACACAAATGTCAGAGCAGAATATTTTGAACAAATGGACTCAGTAAATATCTTGGTTACTTTTCTCTCATTGCTGGGACAAAATATCTGACACCCTAAATTAAGGAAAGAAAGATTTATTTAGCTCACAGTTTGTGGAAGTTCCAGTCTATAATCAGCTGGCTCCAAGGCAGAGTGGCATGGCACAGGGGCAGCGGCCTCAGGACAGCAGCCAGAGCAACAGGGAGAACAAACCCTTCTTTTGGCTTATATTATAAGCAGACCACCCCCTGCCCCAAGGCAGTGTGGCATTCACACTACCTCTGTGCCCTTCTTTTGCATAGCCAGAGGCTATTTACAAAGTAAGCACCCTGGCTCTTTGCTGAGTCTCAGAGTTAAAGTTCTAAACTCAAGTTGACACAACGTATCAA